AGACTTTTCCTCTGCACCAGCAGATCGCTTGGAATAAAGAAACTTATTCTCAAATTTCCCACTGAAATATGAGAGAGCTCAGGCCAGTCCGGTGCCTGGGTGTCGCTGTCTTTTTCTAAGCCTCCTTACAGATCACTCAACACTTACTTACACTATTGATTTTCATCCATTTCTTTCCATTTTGCTCCACGTTCCCCTGTAAGACTAACCACAACAATTGGAGCTACTGTTCTGTAATTGAAGACAGAGGAACAGATCAAACTCTGGGAAGGTGACAGAACAGACAGCAGAAATGAAAGTGGTAAATCTCTAACATTAAACTCTCCAGCCAATTAATCCCAGGGCATGTACTTGTTTTGGGAAAGTGAATAAACTGTTGAATGATGACCTCCTGAGGTTTTAAAAGCCAATTTTGGGAAGAAGAGGAAGAAAAAAAAAAATTGCCACAGAGTGTCTAGCCTGACATCTAAGACTTAACTCTAGGCTAGCCATTACATTGTCCCTGTTTCATCTGCCATCAAAAAGACCTTGCATTTTCCAGAGTTTTCCTTCGTAAGACTGCAGCCTGGCAAAGAAAGGAATTGCACAGTACCAAAATAAGACAAATGCAGAATATACATGAATAGGGAAGGGACAACTGATCTGTTATTTCAGTCACGCCTGCACCAGGTACACTGTTTTGCAGATGCCAGATCCACCATAGCTGCCTCTGCATGTCACACAGGACTCAAACAAGTGGAGAATCAAATAAACGTGCTCAAAGGAAAAAAAAAACACATGCCGAGATAAGCTTTATGGAAATAACATCATCTCTCTGATTCTTCTCAATACACTGTGAAAAGAAAAATGCTGTCAGGTTTTTGAGAATAAGCAACTAGGACAAATGGCCAGTACTGCTTGTTTATTTTAAACAGATGCCCTCTACCATCATTTCAAAATGAGGAAGAAAATCCTGTCTGTTCAACCTTCCATGAACGGTGGTTTAGACATGTTGCTGCACTGTAATGTTAAAGTTGCTATTGTATGTCTTTCTCAATTAACATTATTGTACAGATATCCCAAGGTAAGGCTACTTGGAAACACCTATTTAATGGATATATTCTTACACCTACTTCCAACTAATCATATTTTCCAGTAAGTAAATCTTCACATACACCAATCCTGTTTAGTGGAGTTCTGGTCCTAAGAAACACTCTGTGAAACCTAATGCCAGGATGTCAACACACTCTACATCACGGACTCTCAGCCTCACCTCAAATCAGACGTAATGCAAGTCACATCAAGTTCTGTTACCAGAGGTGGACTCAGACATGCCACAAGGTGCCTCAGCAAGATGCCTCACACAGTGGGTAAACCTGCCCTTTTGCTCTTAAGTGTTTAGGCTGGCAAAATTGAGCTGGAATAAGTGAAATCCACACTAGAAATAAGCTGTGGGCAAAGTCTCTGTATCAGTCAAAGCACTTCTGGTACAGTCATGGCCAATCAGTAATCACGAAATTGTTGCCAATTCCGTGTCTACTCCAAGCTCAATGGAGCCATTAACTAGCCCACAAATAGAGCATTATTTCTGGTGATCTTCATTAGGCGCATCAGAAAACAGGAAAAATGTGGTGCTTCAAAACAAAACGAGGCAAAGGGGATAGCTTGAGACTGGACCAACATCTTGCTAATCTGGATGATGTATTTGAGGCTTTTTTCTAGTTTTGACAGTGGATCGTACATGCTAGGAATGAGAATAGTTATTTATCTGAACGTGTAAAGAGAATAACTTTTGCTCAAGTTTAAGGTGCTGATTTTTCTTAAGCAGAAGACAAAAATACTCTTAAAGTCTCTGACCCAGCATGTGAAGCTAACAGTGAAATGAGAGCATCAGAAAGAAAGTAAAGGAAATTTCAACACACAGTTGGTTCAGCTGAAATAAAAGCTAGTTCAGTGGCTGAACTGCACTAACTCTTTCAAAGATTTGTACATTGCAAATGCATGGCTTCCTTAGCACTTATGCACCATCCAAATGCATAAATAAGGCGTCCTGCCTCTCTTCCTTACCCTGGCTCAGTCCTAGATTAGGATGCTGAAGTTGTAAAAACCAGAGGAGAATGCTTTGGGTCCGTAAATAAACCCGTGGGTTTGGTGTGATAGTAATAGCAGAGCACTCACAACAGCATGACAGCCAAACTTGAAGGCCACCTGAAAGCTTGTCACAGCTGTTGTTTACTACAGATCTTTGCAGAAAAAATCAGCTCCATGGGGAGCAGAGAGCTGAGGGTATGAAGACTTGGAGGAAGCGTGCTGGAAGGGCAGAGGGCACTGAGGAGCAGGGGAGGACTTCAGCTTGCAAAAATAACCATGTGGTTCATCTGCTTCTTTCAATAATACTTCACTTTTGTGTCCATTTCAAGGTCTCATTTCTTTATGATAGCTCCCACGTTTAGGGAAGAAGACCTCCGGTCTCTCAGAAAACCATCTCTGTGTCACCCATTTAGGCAATGCTTATATCCCCTTTGGGAGCTGACTTCATCCCACTCCCTTACTCTCAATTGTTCACCAGAAAATAAAGCAAATTCTTAACCAACTCTCCTAAAGTAAAAATCTAAATGATGCTTAAGCAGTGTGTCATTATCATATGAAATAACGAGGTCAAGTCAAACTTTCCGCATCTTTCCTCCCCTCTGCTTGACCTCTATCTTCTACAAAAGGCTAGAGCCGTGTCTTCACTCAGTTCCCGAGTCAGACAAGCACGCAACTGTGTGGGAAACAGAAGCCCTCCAGGTTTTCTCACCGCCTGTACCAAACTAGTCAGAGCTAAACCACATGGGATTCTTACTAGAATTTCTGGGGAAGAACTGGTTAACATCGCCTTTCTCCATTTTGCATTTACTAATTATCACTTCATTCAGCCCTTATTTTAGTGCAACAAAAAGCAGCTGTCAGGCCAAGCGTGCTCACTCCAAGTGACCTTGTGTTCTTGTTTGTGTTTACCACATAATCAGCAGAGAATTCCATTTTCAAAATACAAGACTTCATAATCCATTAGTACTAGAGATTGGTCCAGGACTCTGGATTTACTGGTCACGTGTACCAAGGAATAAAAATATGAGTGTACAGCTAGATTAATCTCCAGACCTGTAAAGCATCCCAACCAACCGTGCATGCAGCACTCTCATTCAAATTCACGTATGAATATTAGCACCATTCTTAAAAGCTACCACTAATACCATCCCCACAGCACATGAATTAAAAATTAAATGCTACCTGCTTTACAACTCAGAAAGTATGGAGACACACAATCACTAACTCCACTTCTCAGATTTTCCATTTGTTTCAGAAATGGAACATAAGCACTGATGTTCTTATTAATACATCAACAACCTATATTTCCCCCAGCTATTTCTAAAAGGCAGGAATCACTTTCACTCCTCTTAATTTTAAATTAAAAGTCTTTAGTGAGTCCAAGCAGTTTAGCTCACCATCAAGTTCAATAAATCAGAGAAAAGAATCAATGGAAAGCATTTCAAAACGTAACCTTGGTAACGCACAAAATGCTTCCACAGAACTTACACTCACTTGCTTTATTTGCTGCTTTAGAAATTGGAATATAACACATAGGCAGAAGGACATTAGCATCACGACATTGCATCTCTCGAGCCTAACATTGCACGTGCTCTCCTAGAAGGCACTTTTCGCAGTACGCTTTAAAAACCTGCAGCCTGGCAAGTTGGATGATTGAAAACTAATCATATTTCACGTTGACAAAATGGAAAATGGAAGTGTTCAATACAAAATAATAATCCATATTTATTCTTTATGTCCGTGCACAGCAGTTTAAATGTAATTTCGTCCATGCTTTCCACTGATAAAATGAGAATAAACTCAATGGTGATATACAGCATCTGCCATTTGAAGAATCAACATTTGTCAGCGTTACCACACAATTTTAACCATGGTCCTACACAGTTCTCCTGCATGCAACACTTAGACTGAAAATGGCTATTACGCCACATACCATTATGTGATATTTATTGGCAAATACCAATTTTTGAATAGCAACTTCATTATTCAATATTTATATAAGTCTACCAGGATAAACAACCTCTGATTTATGTTGAGATAGCAAACTTCAAAATATTTTGCTGCTTATCTCAGTACTCTGTAACTAAGATGTCTACTAGTTCTTATCCCAGCCTGATCCAAAAGGCATACCATTATTCCCACAGCTCAAAGTTAAGCAGAAAAACCTTTCTTTAGAATAGCCTCTCCTGGCAGCTGGAGAATGCCAAACAGAGGTGCAATGAAGTAGTATCATTCTCCACTCTTCATACATCTTCCCAAAATGCCAAGGACAGTCTAATTTTGAGTAAAGATTCTGATCTTCTAAAGATTACCACCCTCCAAACTTCTCAGTTTTCCTCCTGGTTGTTTTTTTTGAGTGAAAGAGAGCATTTCTTTCTCAGCTTCACTAACTCTTGCTGCTTATCTCCTACTTGAATTGAGCATGACCTTGCAACAGTGGCAGTTGCCTGCTACAATGGCACCCAGCCATAAAACGCTGTTCAATTTCACAAGTTAAATAAGCATCAGAAATAAAGTTCTGCTAAGGAAATAAAAATAAAAGCAGGTTTTTTTATTCATAAGTTTCAAACCAGTAGAAGAACATTCACCATAATTATGTTAATGAAGACTATTTCTAAGGCAAGCACTCACTTCATGGCTGGTTTTTCAGGGGTTTTCCCTCCAAAGCAACCTTCACAGGCTTGCATCAAACTATCAACTGTTTCAAAAAGGTAATCAAAAAAGCAGAGCTCAGGGATGAACTGTTCTCCTTTTCATCCCTACCTGAACCCTATCTGCTGCCACACATGGAAGTCTGCCCAAGCTGAAAACTGAGTCTCCTCCAGAGCTGTGCACACCACCACGTGAAGGCTGCGTCAAAAAAAAAAAAAAAAAAAAACCAAAAAAAAACTACTACATGTAATCCACCAGGTCAATGTTTTGTTACTTACAAGGCACAGCATGGCGATAAAGGTTATCTCTAATAGTCTGCTGCAGATCGTGATCCGGTGATCCTTTCTGAAACCTCTGGTTGAGATAATGTCTCAGGTCTTTGTTCAGTCTGCTTCCTGCAAAGAAAAAACAGCCATTTATTTATTTCTAAATGCACACAATTAACATTTCCAATTCAGGCAAATGTTAGACTTCTATTCAGAGTCCCCTAAATTATGGCATGCTGACTTTACGAGCGGAGGCTCATCTTCCTCTACAAATGGCTAATTACCAAAAATAACTCGCTGTAAACAAGAGGTCTCTCTTGTCTCATAATGCATCTTTCTTCCTGTGGTGTTAAACAGATCATCATTCCCTTTTATCACTTATTTGTCTGAGCAAACGGAGAAAGACAGATGATGTGAAAAAGAAGAAAAATAATAAAGGTAGAGTATTGCTTTTGCAACTCATTGGAGGGTGACCTGGGCAGACAGACAGAAGGCAAAGGATGCTCCCATTGGAGGTACTAATATAGCTGAACATGGCACAAAATCAAACAAGTGCTATACTTTCACTGGTATCTACCTCGGCACAAAGCAGGAGTTAGAAAAGAATTGATTGAAGGAGTTAAGAGCACCCAAAGTCCTTAAAAACAACAGAATAATATCCAACACTTTTCACTTAAATCTGTTTATGTCCCCATTCAGTTTTGAATACTTTCAGAAGTGTGTGAGAATAAAGATAAATGAGTTGGAAACAAAACAACAACAAACAAACAAAGAACAACAACAACAACAAAAAATCTAAACAAAGAAAAAGAAACGTAGTTGTTAATGAACATTGCTAGTTGCTAAACACCAAAGCCTTTCTTGTAGCAGAACATGAACTGGAGCAACTTAATGAAGTCTTTTCCCAGAAATGAATTATTTTCAAGTTTGGAATAACATTGACATTAATTTGACTGAAGAGCAAAAACAACCCAAGAACATACAGCAAACAGGGATAGAAACTCTTCTGTTCTAAAAAGAAAAGAAAAAAAAAAAACACTGGAAAAGCCTCAGAGAAACACAACCAGGATGATCAAAGTCTGGAGGAGCTGCCATACAAGGACCAAGAGAGCAGGCTGGGATGCTGCAGCCTGTTGCAGACATCGGTCTCCGACTGGCTGCTCCCTGCCTCTCCCAACACAAGGACGAGGAGACAAAAGCTAACGGGAGCTTGGTTCAGAACAATGCAACAGTGGCAGTAGTTCACACAGGTTGTGGCAGGTCTCCTTGCTGGAGAACACTGTGGCTGCAAGAAGCTTATTGAGGAGCTTCAAGGGGAAACTGGAAAAACATTTGGAAGACAGAGGCACTGGGGGTTGCAAAAGAGGGTGTAGCAAATCCCTTGAGCTGAACATGAACTGCTGGTGGCTGGGAGACCTGGGAAAAGAAGTGGGGGAATATCAAGTATCTTGCTCTTTTCCTTTCCTTTACTAGGCATCTTATTTATGGCCACAGCTTGAGCCAGAATGCTGGGCTACATGGACCTTGGGCTGAACCGCTGTAGCTGTTTCTATGGTCTTTTATAATTTGCATTATGAATTTTTGGATTGTGAATATGTAAAGCAGAGATTATCTCAATACTTGTTGACACATCACAGTTGCAAATTCCTGGCTAGAGCCTCTAGGAATCACTGCAGAGCAAATCAAGAATAATAATACTGCAATGGATTGCAGTTGGACAGTGCGTCTGGGAGGCAGCAGTGGTACCAGGCAAATGAGAAAAAGAGTGCAGACTGTTAAATGACCATGGGCAGGAACAGCCTATCTGCATAATGCAGTCCTGCAACATTTTAATGGAAACGTTAGTTTAAAAAAACAAAGCTAAACACAAAAAACCCCTAGACTGAAATACTAAGTGAAATTCTAAAAAATAAATAGGTGATCTGTATTTAGGTTCTCCAGCTTTTTTTTTTTTTTTTTTAATTAAATTTCTTACTGAAGAAAGGAAGGCTTAGGCAGCAGGCCCAGCTATTAAAAGAAGGAAAACTTTTAAAGACCAAGATGCTCATTACAGAAATGGCTCAAACAACAAAACTGAAATTAAGGCAGATAAAACTGGCTCAACACACTTCCCTGAGTTACCCCAGCAACACTCCTCACTCCAAGAGCGGATTATCAACCCATTTTCTAACAAATGTTCTCCAGTTATTATACTATAGAAATGGTTTCCCACATAGGAGGCACTTGGAGGGCTTGACAGACCTGTGGGCTACAGTTTTCCAATATCAAAGCTGACCTTCCAAACTCCAGATGTTTGATTTCATACTACATCATTTTATTCCAGTCCTCCAGAGGGAGACTGGGCACAAAAAAAGAGCACCTGCTGAAATAATAAAGCATTTCTTTATCTTTTAACTAAACAGTCTGTATTTTTCTTTGCACAACAGATAGTAAGACAAGGTGGTTTCTCATAGCAAAAAGAACAAACATGACAAGCAGTTTGGACACAATGCTTATTCCAGTGAAGAAATTTAGTGCACTCAACTGCATGTATCATACAACGTAGGCTTTCTCCTGAAATACTGTCTGATTCATGATTCAATGATTTATGTCTCAATAATGTCTAGAGGTGAAAAAGCTCTGCTGAGCTAGGGCTTGTTTGACCACAGAAAATATGCAATTTACTGATGATATCTGCTTTTAGCTTCCCTCTGTGCCCATTCCATCTAGCATCTCAGTCTACTACAGCCCCCACTGGAAAGTTTGGTTATTTGGTTTATGCAGTAGCTGGGATTTCCCAGCTGAGTCACTGATGCACTAGCCAAGATGGCAGTTACAAAAATAGGGGCTATAGCAATACTTACACTCACATCATTGTCCCCTCAGGGACCTCACAGTGATGCTCATTTCTATTACATTTATTTTAAACGGGGAGGAAAAAAAGGGGGGAGGGGGAGAGCTTTCAAAGCCACATTTTTTTTGCTAAATTCCAGAAAATTCTTCATGGAAATAAAGGTTTCTTGCAGCCCTGGCGGTCTCGGCTCAGCAGCCACTGAGACCACAGCTGTAGACAAAAGCAGGCTCACCCCATGCTACTCACTCCAAAGCAGGGAAGAAGAAAATGAGCTAACAGAGAAACTAACTCCATGTAGAAAGCTCCCAAAAGGACCCACCCTGGAACATGTTGGACTCTACCATTTGAAATATTTCACTCCACTCTGATTTTCTTTTCCAAAAATCTCCTCAGGCTTGAGAGGACGCGTGCTTGATATTGGCATTACTTAGTGGATTCTAGTGCTAGATGCAAGTTCATAAACTCTAATAAATTCTTTTTGAGGCCAAAATGTATGCATCAGCAATTCCTGAGAATCTGAAATACATGCCAGTGACATTACAGCAATGTCCTGTGTGCAAATGGTAGTAGTAAAATTCTTTCTGATCCTCAGGGGCACCCCTTCCTTGTGCATGCTCCCTCTGAAAACAAGTCTCACCCTCTGACTGGCTTCTGTTGCTACACCAACCAGCACCAGGCTGGGTGGAAGGGCAGGTACCCACATCCACCTGATTTTATGCAAAAGTCTTCCCTTTGTAGAGTGCTCAAGAAAATACCTGGCTCCAGTTTCCTTAGAGATGAGCTGTGTTAACTAGAAGTGTACCACTACCCTTCAAAATACTCCTCTGTTCTCAAGGAGATTGGAACTTACATTTCCTCTTTTGAAATCCTTTCTTTTCTTCTCTGCTAAAAGCATGTAAAGAGATCCGATGGTGATAATAGCGGAGGAACAAAAGATGCAACCCAGAAACAGCAGTTTCCAAAACAGAGGATATAGGTCTTAAGAGGGAGTGCTCAGCTCTTCCTTCCTGCTGGCCAGGATATGTTGGAAATGCATTTATTTGCACACAGAAAAATCACCTTGTTATTTCTGTAATCAAAATTAGGCTGATATATCCAGCTTTAGAAAATCAGACATTAAAAAAAAACTGCAAAAAAGAAATTCTTCTCTACTAAACTCACCAAAATTTGTATTTTAAAGTTTTAGAAGGAAAACACATTCAAAGATTGCTTTTTGTTGTTGCAACAGTTTCCTCGGTTTTTTTCCCCCGCTCAACAAAACCAATGCCTTTCTTTATGTGAAGATAGTCAGAGAACCAACTTTCCACTGCTGCTCTCCCCACAGTACTACTCCAAATCTGAGATGTTTTCATCTTACTATCTGAATCCTTCTGTACCTTTGAACAAAACAAAGAGTAACTCACTGAATGGCTGGTTTTCTCAATTATTCTTAATTATTATACTGCATTTTAGAGTACGTCAATTGTCTTCCCAAACGATTACATCATAACAACAATATTTTAGTAGCAAAAACAAACCCCGAGAGGAAAACAAAACATTTGGGGGGGGGGGGGGGGGCGCACTGCTACTTTTT